GAAATCGAGTGAATAAAGCTGTGTATGCCTTGATAGGTAACCAAAGCGCCTCAAGACAGGCATGTTTGGCTATTCATCAAAACGTGCTGGTCCCAAACCTAATGTATGGTAGTGAGTGTTGGGTGTGGCAGAAAAAGCATGAAATTAGGGTGAATGCTGTAGAAAAGCTATGCGCAATATGTGCGATATTAGTCTTGAAAACAGAATGCCGAACGGTGTAGTAAGAAAACGTTGTAGTGTGAAAGATGTTTTTTGGTTTATAATACTAAGTGACGCCTATCCATAACAGTTGCAGTGCTATTCAGTGCTTTAAATCAAAGATCTTAGGGGCACAGCCACTGCGCTCGTCACCCTGAGACATAAGTTGACAAGTCTCATGTGCCTGTAATTTCATCAACACCTCTACCTTTCCAAACCGGAGCGCAGTAATGCTGACATTACTACTTGGCGGCAAAAATAGTAAGGTGGGAGCACTTTCCCGGACGAACTCATTCACAAGGACCTCTACTGCTACTGAATGTGAAAGTAACCAGGATATAGAGGGGGATGCTTCGATAGTTCGGTCATGTAGAAGGAATGTATGTTGGTAGATTGTAGGCACAAATTTATAGAGCGAGTGTGGATGAAAGAGTGAGAAGAGGTAGTAGACCTCGGCATACATATCTCAATCAGATTGGGGATGTCCATGAAAAGGCTGGGTTATAAGTACCAAGAATGTATAAAGAGACTAATGGGAGGAGGTGAAGGTTTGTCTAACCCAGTGGAACACAGGCGTGATGATATGCATTATATTTTAAATGCTGTTCAACGTTTCAAGAGAGTTTGGTAACTGAAAGAATAATTATCCCTACAATTTCAACTTAGGCTTTTACTGTCCATAAGTTACAAGGCACTACGGTAGAAAACGCTGTCGTGTATTTGGGCAGAAGTATTTTCACAAAAGGCCAAACTTGAAGGTGTAGCAATTTATGTAGAGTTCACACAACTCAACCGAAGATAACTATTTAATAACTAACCTAACGACAAATCAAGTTAACAGAAGTGCAAAGAATAAATACCTTCAATTACGAAACAATTTGTCTTAACGATTCGTCATTTCAGACTGGTCGAATGGCGAATCGATTGTATATATTAATGTCGTTAATGATTAACTTCAACGCCAAGGGCGCAGCGACGGATCAATACGACTATTGCGAAGATCGATCGAAACTAGAATTCGCCTTCATTAATAAGTTAATAAAAGTGTACCAATTCATTTATTCCAAAATTTACAAAATGCATTTATGAACAATAATAAAATGTATAACCTAAAGATCAGCACAAGGCTTCGTCAATAGGTAATCTAATACAAAAAAAAGTGAGATTCACGTTAAATATACTTAATTTAAAAAGAAATCCCGCCCTGTATCGTGCCCGGGGCAAAAGTTCCCATTATACTGGCAGCATTGCCTCGCTGGACAGCAATGGACACCTGCTGAACCAACCACGACCCAGAGCGGTGATCGCAGCCCCAGTCTCTGAGTCGGCGACCCAACTCTTTAAATATAAAAAATTAAATAGTTAATAAATAATTCTTCTGTACTATAGTAATTTTCATTGTTTTATTGGTTTTCCATATTTATTTATATATTTCATCATCAAACTTAAGAGTTATACTCTTGTCGGTGAAGCATCTTCCAGTCATCTTTCCTATAAGTCAGCTCCTCTGACCTCACAACACATAATGGTACAAAAGGCGGACTTAATGCTAAAAGCATTCTCTACCAGTCACTATCTTTGAAGAAAACGAAATTCACGAATGCCGCAAATTAAAGAAAATATTAAATTAATAATTTAATAATAACAAAAATCTTATAAATATATAATCAAATATATAACAAACAAACCTAACATTCAAATGTTATCTATATATATTACATATATTTATATATGATACATACAACCACAGAAGATAATGATGAATATCGCAGTAACAAACTATTTCAAAGACGCCCATGGACATTCTTTTTGAAAGAGAATAAACTAAGAGACCTTCTGGTGGAGTCTGGGGAAGCATTCCAGAGACGTGTTGAATGGAGAGTGAAGGAATCAGACATGAAGCCAGACTTTCATTCTCTATTTTACCCCCTTTAAGATTTATTTTTGTGACAAAAAGATCCCATCTATCTGTGTTCAAAAATTCAAAGTTGGTTCAGCTTAGACATAAAAACTTTACTAAAAGCTCATTGTCTTACACTCTTATTATTATTCTGTTCTCCTACCCGTTTAAAATTTTTTTAAAACAGTTGCTCAAAACGTAGTATTTTTCGTACTACAAATCGTGCCCAAAGTTGGATTTTTCGCACTAGTGCTTTTTACTTTTCCATTATTTTTTTAAAAATTCACTGTTGTTTCAAGTCTTAAACATAGAACTATAGAGGTCGTATATTTATTTAATATTTATGTGCTTTGTGACCTAACTCATTCGTCATTAAAACTTATATTTACTTACAAACATCTTATTTGCTTAAATTGCATAGATGTTTTATAAAACGACGGATTACATTTAAAAATACCAAAATATTTTAAATAAAGATGGCCGATTGAGTATTAACAACGATCGGAGGTAAGTATTACGCGAGACCGCTGCGCGCCGCGCCACTAAAATATACTGTTTTATTTTACTTTCAATGTAATTTTTTCGCAAATGTATTAAAAAACGTCGTTTGATACACGTGCGCATTTGTCATTTTCACTTGTCTCGAGTCTTGACCCTCGCCTCTGGCTCGGGCCAAGAAGCCTCGAGACTCGTGAATAATGACTAACTTTCCGCACTTGTATTAAAAATAACTATTGTGTATTGTTATTATTATCGTGTTTTATGTAATCCTACTTCAATTTATGTGATTATATGCATATGTTTTTTATTTATTTATTATTATTATTACTTTCTTCATTTATATATGTGCAATATGTGTATTCTGTTGCGCCCTCAAATAATTTTATCTTAGTTTCCTGTACCCCGACGGTTGTCTGGAAGAGATTGTTATTTAGCAATAAGGCTGCCTTTTGTACCTGTAATTTTTACTTTATTATATTAGTATATATTAGTCCGCGCGCAATAAACAATATTTGTATTGTATTGCATTGTATGGTATTGTATTGTACTGTACTGTACTGTACTGTACTGTACTGTACTGTACTGTACTGTA